CACTGATCCACACGGCTGTGCACCCCTTACTGGCAGATACAGTTCTTCCTGGAGGAACTGAAATTCTATCTTCAGCGATCATGGCAGAAGCTTGCGTTGTCTGGGCTGACAAGAAGCAGTCTTGACAGGTTGTGGATGCTAGTGGCTACATCAGGTCTTGTCTTATTCAGCCCGTTCTCTACCAACAGGAAGAAATTGTCAGAGCATGACCAAATTTTGTCAGGACTCTTGATAAGACTGAGAGAGGGACTGTTTCCTTAGGTTAGTAGTGTGAGAGTTTTCAGCCTTTTTTAGAGCTATCAAGGAGATCCAAGCAGGTGACTGAGTTCCTACGGCTCCAGCTTTCCTATCCGTTGAGACTTAGTTCAAGCGTGATCTTTTTCATGAAGCCTTCCTTATTATTATTATTATTATTATTATTATTTTATTTTAATTTTTTTTGGTACAGGGAATCAAACTAGGGTCCTTGCACAGGTAGCAGAACCACTGAGCTAAATCCATGGCCTTAAAGGAATTTTATTTATTTATTTATTTATTTATTGCACCAGGGATTGAGCTCTGATCCTTGCGCTTGCAAGGAAGGTGGCGGAAACAGAGCTAGATCCCCGGCCCTTTTTAAAAAAATGTTTTTGGTACTGGGCCCTTGAGCTTGCTAGGCAGGTGGCAGAACCACTGGGCCAAATCCCTGGCCCCTCTCTCCTTAAGTTTTTAAACTCAGGGACTTACTTTCTTCTTCGCAACAAATTACCCTCTTCTGCCACTAAGTACCATGTCTTACATTATCCACATGCCTGGATTTCATATTAAGTCTCTTAAAGAGATTCACCTGTATCTCCCAAATACTCTATACTGTGCGCAGCACAGACTAGGCACTTAAAATAATGTTAATGAAAAAATGGTTAAGTCCCACTATACAGACCTGAGGTTCCTCAAATAAGTACAAGCTAAGTGCAGAACAAGCAGAGTTTTTTATGGTCTTTCCAGGGGCGTAGTTTAGGGAAGGCTGAGTTAAAAGTTGGGATGAGGATGACTAACCATGGCAGTCCAAGAAAACACAGAAGAAGTACACTCAAGTTAGAGGGTAATTTTTCAGATCATAAACCATGAAAGTATTTGTTCTACATTTTATTAAAATGTCTACCATATCAAAACATTCCTTTCTATGAATGTCTTTATGTTACTTTAGTGAAAAATCAAAGTAAGCAGGTCTGCTATCAGTATCTTCATTTCATGTGCTACGATGCAGAAACCTAGGCAGGTGAATGATTCAAAGTGACTGTCTTATCTTTAGGATTTTGCCTTCTTTTTTTTTTCCCTGAGGCTGAATTTAACTTTATTTTTCTTAGTTTATCTTTTTTTTTTTCAGTGTTAATTGAGTTTATTGGCACATTTTAGGGCTACAGTACAGTTACATTCATTGTTGGGATCTTGCACCTCTACATAACAGGTCTTGGTTCTCATTTTTTTCCCTTGTCCCTGCCCTCCCTTCACCCCCCCTCCCCTCCCCATCTATAAACACTTTATTTCCATCTTTTCATTATCTCACATTTTTTTCCCTTATTACCCTTTCCCTACCCATCCCACCTTCCCTACACCTTTAGCTCCTTTCTTCCCATTTCTCAATGTCAGTAATCTTATTAGGATCTTCTGTATTATTGCACATTATTCACACCAGAGAAACTATTCGGTATTTACACATGTGTGTCTTATTTATTTCACTTAGGAGCATATCCTCAATATGTATCCATTTTCCTATGAATGAATCTAATTTCTCCTTCTTTATGGCTGAGTAATATTCCATTTTATAGAAAAACCACATCTTTATCCAGTTTCCAATTGATGGGCAAATAGGATTCTGCCTTCTTATAGCTATAGGGACAGCCGAAACAGTGCTATTCCATTTTCCATGAGAATGGACTCAATAGTCAGAAATAAAAATTTAACTTTCACCCATCATTTTGTAAGAAATCAGTGTTCTAGTTTTTAAAAAAATTTACTTACTTTTTCGTACCAGGGATTGAACTTGGGACCTTGTGCTTGTGAGGCAGGTGGCGGCACCACTGAGCTAAATCCCTGGCCCCAGAAATCAGTGTTTTGAAGACATTAGGTCTCTTCTAAGTACAAATTACTATTATTAATCAAAAGTCATGAAAAGGTTCGTTATGCTTTATAGGCTCATTACATCAGGATATTAAAGAAGACTAGGATGTAATATCTGGGCTGTTTGGAAATATGTTTGATAGTAAGTATTCTATGAAGTCTCTAAGTTTGATTTGGCTTGTGTGGTCATATTATAGTTTTAGACAGAAAGGCAGGTAAACAAAGTAAATAATATACCAAAAAGATGCAGGAGGGAAGTAGTTTTTGAATTCCTGCTGGGCTAAGTTTAGTGCATTAAAAAAACAAAACAAAAAGACAAATCTGATTTTCTTTTCTCCATGAAAAATTTAACTTTAAAATACAAATCTATTGCAGTTTAAGTTTCTGTATTTGGGGTACATATGATAGGAGAACACTGGTGTTAAGTATAACTACAGTAGATCATAATAATTTCACTATTTTACAGATAAGGAACACGAAGCATATTGAGAAAACTGTCTAGTCCAGGTTCTCTGAAGAATTACTAGTGATCCAAATGATAAAACACATTCTCACTCAGACTACTAAAAGATACTTTCCAAAAGAGTGATAGTAGTTTTTAAGTTATACACATAATAAAATATGAAATATTTCAGAAACTTTAATCAATTTTTGAAGTGATTAAAATTTATGTATCTATAATAAAAACTGCACAAATCTGACTTCATATTGGGCACTTTTATTTATGGCTAAGGAAAATAGAAACATATTTTCTATTTAAAATAAGAAAATGAGTATTTCAACATTAGACTATTTTCCATACTACTTGTAATCGAGTGTAAGGTCTTTGTAGGTTTTCTTTTCTTTTTCCTTTTTTTCTTTCAGGATCAAATTGGGGATCGAACTTGGGCCCATGTGCTTGCAGGGTAAGCGGTGAAACCACTGAGCTAAATCCCTGGCAGTTTTTATTTTCAATAGAGATTAGAATTCTGTAGTTCCAACCCAAAAATGGGCATCTGAATGAATAGACATTTCTCAGATGAAGTAGAAACAGCAAATAAATATATGAAAAAATGTTCCACATCACTGGTCATTTGAGAGATATAAATTAAAACAACACTGAGATTCCATCTCACTCCAGAAAGAATGCCTATTATCAAGAAATCAACCAATAACAAATACTGGCAGAGGTGTAGGGAAAAGGAACCCTTCTCCACTTTGGTGGGAGTGTAAACTGGTGCAACCACTGTGGAAATCAGTGTGGAGAATCTTCAAAAAACTAAAACTAGAGGTTCCATTTGACCCAACTCTTCTCCTTCTTGGTATTGTCCTGAAAGAATTAAAAGCATTATACCATAGCAATATATGCACACTCATGTTTATAGCAGCACAGTGTGTAATAATAGCTAAATCTTGGAAAAAGCCCAAATGCCTATCAATGAATGGATAAAGAAGATATGCTTTTTTAAAAATACAATGGAGTACTAGTTTATCAAAAAGAAGGATAAACTTGAGACATCTTTAGGTAAATGGATGCATCTAGAGACCATACTCTTAAATGAAATAAATTGTACACGTTTAAATATTGCATTGCTTCTCTGTGAGAAACTGAAAGTGTAAATAAATAAGGGCCAAAATGTATAACAGACATTGGGAAATGGGAAGAAAATGTTCAAATGAGTAGGGAAACAAGGGAGAAAGGAAGGAAGGGAAAAGAAAAAGAGAATAGAAGGAAAAAATGAGAAAAAAGCTTTTGTAAATAAGGAGGGGAAAAGGGGTTGAAAGAAGGAGAGGGGATTAGAGAGAAAAAAAAGAATCAAGATATATCAGCACAGGTACAAATTCCCTACGATGAATGTGATCATTATGTATATCTAAAAATTATCAATTAAAAAATAGCTGCAGATCCATAACAAATACAAGAACTTTGTGTTTCAGAAATATAAAAAATGATGATATTAAAACATTCCATATGTTGGTTATCCTATCCTAGGTCTTTTTTATGTTTGCCCTATGTTCTCAGCTATAATCTTCATAGACACTACAATGGAGTGAGACTGGACAACACAGAAAGTGGAACAGTGAAATATTCATGTAAGTAGTTGAAAATCTGTTTTGTAAAGCAAGGCCTCAAACTCCTTATCTCTGGCATATTCAGTATGGAATTTGTGGTTGGATATCATTCAGCCACTAGAAAAAGGCATTCTACAACAACAGCCTTATGAAAACAATACTTAGTAGGCTTTCTCTGCAAGGAATAGCAGACAATTAAGTAAGACTGAAGTAAGAACTTTTACCAGTTTTCTCAGAAATTATTTCCCCATCATAGTTAGTTGGCCAGTTGGTCAGGTCTACTATAAGCAAGTCAATTCTCTAGGAATGAGCTGGGGTTGGCTTGCAAGTTTCAAAGCAGCACTAGTAAAAGCTGATCTCTAAGCAAAGACCATTAGTTTATTTAATTTTCAAGAAAAAATTTAAGCCAATATTCCCTTTTAGTATCTTTTAAGTTTCAGTTTATTAGCACATGTTTGCAGTACATAATGTTTACAATCCTTAAGGGATGAAAAAAGAAAAGAAAAAATAAATTGGGATGTATTATTCCTTTCATTTTACCATGCCCATTTTGCCTAGGTTGTGTCTAAATTTTTTTTAATAAGGTGAGATAAAAGATTCAGCAGGGGTTTCATAATCCATAGTAGATGAGAACTCATTTATAGCATGTAATTTGATTCTTATATATGTATAACTAAATAATGTTAAGTCTTTAAATGATAACGACTTCAAATTGTACTATAAAACACTACTACTATTTATTTTAACATTGATATTTTTAGGAATAGCTTTATTAACAGTACATTTTCACGCATCTAAAAATTTTATTCTAGTTTTGCTATTCATAATGTTTGATTCAGTTCAAACAAATATTCAAGCCTACGTGAGCGAAAGATAAAAGGATTTTACATTTTTATATAATAAGCTAAGTTCTTTTTAAGACTAAAAGTTAATATTGAGATTCGAAAACCTAAATTTTCAGTTACTTTTGATTTAACCATCAATGTATATTACTTAGGCCACAGGACTGCCCATTAATCTCTCTTGTCGGAGAGCAATTAATCTCTTGAACCACTTTTCCTCAGCTTCAGCTTTTTCAATAAATAACTGAAATAAAAAAGGAAAAGAAAAATATTATTACTAATTAATAACTTGGATTTGACTTAATATGATACATATCACCTTTATGGAATACTTTTCTCAGCACAAGATTCAGATATTATTTAACCCTTAATATTTACTTCAAGTCCATCTGCTGGGAATTAGAAATGCAGAAAAAGTCTTAAATTAAAAGGACTAACATCAATACCACTGGTTAACAATTTTCATCCTATGTTTGAATTTAAATCCTACAGCCTTTCTGAGAGACAAAATGGAATTGAACTATTTCTTAAGATGGCAAAATATGATAATAATGACATTCTTATAGTCAAACTACAGGAAAGCCAGCATTAGAACTTTCATGTCAGATTAACGAAAAGCCCACAAAACTTCTTTTTGCCTATTTAAAAAAAACAGAATTCTACCACGAGTCAGGCAGCATCAATTGGGTATACCAGATTCAAAACTATGTCATGGCTTGGAAGGAATGTAGGTTAGTTGCCCATTATTAGCAAATAAGAATACATGAACCCATTTCCTACAATGGCCTTCTCGGTGCCAGAACTAAAGGACAATGATTTAAATGAATTTCAGTTAACAAGAGTTCAGCTGACACTCATTGGGTTTAAAGATCTTACATTTGGATGAGCCAGAGAATTGTCATCCTGGTACTTGATAGCAGTAGGGATGCTGCTGGGGTCTATTTCTTTTTCAACACTAGGTGGATCAGCAACTACAGACGCTGGTCCTGATGGTGAAGTTGGATGTTTCACTTCATTAGGTTCCACTGACTGAAAGATTTAACACATAATAATTTAAACATCATCCACTTTAATAATATTTCTGATGCTGAATAGTAATTGGTCAGTGTCTTCTGAAATGATAGCCTTCTCAAAAAAGCCCTATATTCCTGAATGAGAAACAACTATTCCTTAAACGAAAAAGCAAACACAAAGATGTTGAGGAAATGTGCATTATTTCTTATGATCAGCATATTTTTCTTAAGAATTCAGTTTTTATTAGTCTATATCACTGAAAAACACTGTACATATATTCTATGCTTAAATTCAAATAAAATAAGCTTGCAATAAAGCTCCAGTATTTAGTTTGCCTCCCTGGAAAGAAAATTAGAAGGTAATCTTTAAAAAATATATAAACTTATTTACGTATATAATTCACCAATCTAAAGTACATAATTCAATGGCTTTTAGCATACCTATAGAAGTGTGAAGCTATTATCATAGTTAACCTCAGGATATTTTTACAGTTCCCCTCAACGAAACTCATACTCATTAGCAGTAACTCCCCATTCTTGCCAACTTAATTCCTAGGGAACCAACTAGTCTGTTTTCTTTATGGATTTGTCTCTTTTGGGTATTTCACATCATATACGGTCTCTTGAGACTGGTTATTTCACCTAGCGCGATGCTTTGAAACTCGTCCATGTTGTAGCATGTCTCAGTATTTCATTTCTGTTTACTGTTCATTAACATTTCATTGTATGTATCTACTCCATTTTATTTATCCATTCATAGGTTGATTGCTCAAAGATTTTTTTTAAAAGGTTATGTAAGACATTTAGAAATAAAAGATTGGAAAGATATTGTGATACTGCCTGGCAAGAATAAAACTAGAATTTTTTTATACCTCCTTGCAAACACATTGCCGTGCAGTGTACTATATGCTGGGGACACAAAGACTGATTAGTTATTGTCACTGCATTGAAGAAGCCAACAAACAATGTAGTGCTTTTTCAGGTAAATTTGAATATCTTCCCTGAGAAAGGAGGTGGCCAAGAAACGATTCAAGCAAGGTTGAAAGAATGATATAGATCAGATAAGAATCTGAAATAAAACAATGAGGTATAATTTTAAAAAGACAAATGGAAATTACTTGCATATGTAGCCTTGTCCTATATCTACTGGTTTTATATCTATTGGCTTTTAAATTTCCATTTTTTTGAACTTATCTACTTCAGAACATTCACTTCTTTGAAGCATAAAACAGCTGTCACTGGGGAAAATGTCTGGATAATGATATATGCATAAGTAGTTCTTCTCAATTTTTCTTAGAATTGGATATGCATCTATTTAACCAGTACTATTGAGCACTCCTAATTGCTCAGCCCTGGGTCCACAGGAGAATAAAGTAGATATGGTTTCTGAACCAACTGGAGAATATAGACTGTTCATGGAGTTGACAGATTATAAACAAATACATAGCAAAACAAACGTAATCACCAATTGCAGTGTATGTTGTCAAGGAATATATACGGTGCCAGTGTAGGGAATGATGGGAATTGGGGAGCGGGATCCCCTTTATAGTGGGTGATAGGAAACATCGTCAAGAGGCAAAACTGAACACCTGAGGACGAGACGTAGCAAGGCACATGAAGACAAAGGGACTGCTTTGGCCAGACAGACCAGCGAGTACTAAGATCCTGAGAGGAACGTTCAGAAAGGAGGCCACAGTAGCCTGAAAGCAGCGAGTGAAAGGGACACTTGGACACTGCATCCCAGAATCGGGGTCACAGCTTCCCGGTTTCAGCCACACCACCACTCTGCATGGGTATCGCCTCTCAGCACCACAGCAGGAAAATGACACCAGGCCCGAAAGTGGGCAAACTGTGAGGCTCATCTTTTGTTTCCCTCCTCTTAAGACTGCCAGCCTGCTCAATACTTGAAAACCAATAATACTTCATACATCTTGTCAACTTTTATAATTGTTTATGGCAGAGGGAAAGTTTAATACCATTTATTCTGTAATAATTGGTAGCAGAAATATAACTTCTGATGTCAAGATCCACTCCTTGTTTTTAGCATGTATCTTACTGAATTGCAGTCACTCATTTTTTATTTTTATGCTAACCGAAGTGGGTCTGTACCCATAAGATGAATTCATACTCTTGTAGACAAAAGGACCCTGAGTGGTAGACCTCTGCGCAATCACCAAGTATGTTTAGGAATGCTTGCAAAGTAAGAGAAATCTACTCTAAAATTGTTTTCAAAAGTGGAGGTGTTATAAATACTAAGTCTACCACTTAATAATGTTAATTTTAAGCATATTAGCTTTTATAAACATTTAAAGAAATACTGAATTTGATTTGGCAGATTTCTTTCTATATTTCAGAGCTAATCCCACCCCACTGCCCCAAGTTTCCAAACATTTATATGTCTCCAACACACTGGGCCTACAAAGTACATGACCCCAGGTAATATAATGATCCTTTAAAAAACCAAGAATATGTAATAGTAAAGCCCCATATTTTGTCTGAGGAAAAGTGGCAAATATACTAGTCTACTGAGGCTCAGAAATTGATTTTTGGTAGTCTCTGCTGTCCTGTAGTAACCATAGGAGCACGTCATTGAACATGTCGCAGCCACGCTGTATAGGACTTAACTAGGACGTATCACAGCCATGCTTAGCTAGGAGACTGGCTGTCCACGTTCAGCTGCCTTGAAAAGACATGCAGTGGTGTTATTCTAGCTGTCAAGATGTGTATCCCACTTCTTCATTTCAGAGAGATAAAATTCTATTATATAAACCAATTAATCTCATTCTGTTTTAGATTAACATTGTTTGGAGAAGTACACATAAACATATAAGGTAAAGCTCTCAAAGGTTAGGATGAAAGCATAGAATTTATTATTTAACAATAAGCGATTTAAAAATTAGTGGAGATAATCACTAAATGCTTCTTTTTTAAGAGAGGAGAAATGTAAGGGACAGTTTGCCTTAATGATAAAATAAACCTCAACATAGGCACTACTATTTCTGGCTTTCAGTGACACTGCCATCTGGTGGTTCAGTTTGGAAAATTTAGTTTTATTATGCACTTGCGAGTCAAAGAACAAAAGCCCATGCTGCATGGGATTATTTATTTTCCATCTGAACACAGGCTGATTATCTCCCAGATATAATAATATTAGGGCTGAATAATTGATACTAAGCATATCTAGGGCAGCTGTTTGAAAACAAGCTTCATCTTGGCTCCTAGATAATGAAGTAGAAGGAGCTATCAGATTATCCACTCAGGCAAGAGAAATAAGATTTCAGAGAGTTCACCTAGTTAAATCAATATGTGTTTCAGGAGACACAGTGTCTAGCATGTCACTGGTAATAGCCATTTTCTCATGGTAATAGCTCCTTAGCTTAATTAGTGGAATTAACGTAGCTGAGGAAAGACTGTACCAACTGAAGGGTGGTTGGTATAGAACATTTTTTCTTAGTGATGCTAACTTTATACCACAGTGTGTAGCACTATCCAGAAGAGAAAGATATTAAGCTTGGGTTATAGTAAAGTAGTCCTCAAGAGAGTTAATCTTTGCTATGTATTAGGGAAGCCCATCATATCTCCCTGTGATCTGAATAAAATACTCCTCAAGATAATTAACTTCTCTTTGCTAAGTAATCTCCTGATAAATAATTCAGCTTCTTGGACATCTTGAATCCTTGCCTTATATTGCAGACACAGACAAGAAACTAGAAAGGGATGTCATTTTCTAAACTAATAAATTGTCCCTCCATATATTTTAGTCAAGTGTGAATTTATTCATTGTTAATCTATCACTGCGCATCTGGTCATTTCAGAGTGTATTTATTAATAAACATTCAATGTTTGAAGCTAAGACTTAGACTAAGATGACTTAGTCCTCTGGATGACTAAGACTTTAGCTACTACTGTACATTCACCAAGGTAAATGCCATCTCCTGAGTTTTTTAGCACATTCTCCTGTTGCAACTATTTCTTACCTTTCAATGCACGCTTTCTTGAAAGAGGTACTGCATTAGAAATAAGCTTAAAGAGAACATTAATAGTATCATATGGGAAAAGGTGGTTTTGAAGAAAACCTATCATAATAGCCAAAAAAGAACATGTATTTCCACGAAAGGAAATGAGAGAGTCCAGTGAGAACTGAGAAATCTCAGTGAACTTTAGGAAACAAATACTAGGAAAGAAAATTTTAAAGTAAATTACAGTGCTTCTATTAGGACAGATGAATGCGCTTAAAATAGGCAACAATATAATATCAAATAAAATAGGTAACTACAGGGGCCAGGGATTTAGCTCAGTGGTTCCACTGCGTGCCTTGCAAGTGCAAAGTCCTGAGTTTGATCCCCGGTACCCAAATCAAACAAACAAAAGATAGATAACTACATTTATGAATAGCTCCATTTAGGAATCACAATGGAAACTACCAAAAGTTCACTTGATCTGAGCCAAAAGGCCGAGAAGCAATTACTACCAAAAGTTCAAATGCAACCAACACAGTGACAACCCAGGAACTGTGCACTTGGCATGTATCACATACTCAGTTCATATTTCCTGAGTAAATTATTTTTTAAAATGGTAATTACAAGTCTTTCATATCACTAGTAATAAAGGAGTGCTAATGAAAACAACACATTCATTATCACTTGTTAGGCCAATAAATACAAAAAAGCCTGACAGACCTTCAGTTAACCACAGGCGATGACTAGTCATCTTCCTGAACTTTGAGTGGCATCTGAGTTGGTGTAATATTTTTTGAGGATAAATTTGGCAATATATTAAACAATGTAATCTTTAACGAATAACTTCTCTTGAAAAATTTAAGAATAATGGATATTTGCAAACATACGTATTAGCTCAAAACTTACAACTACTTAAATATGTAATAACAGAGTGAAAAGAAGTAAATTATTGCATTCCTCCTTAGGATATTTATAACCATTAATACATTTATAATGTATATTTTAGAATAAGTGGTGATTATGATTAGGAATCTTATTAAAGAATATATGTATTTCCTAGACTTTTTCCTACTAAAGGAACATAAACACATTCATAAAAGCAACTGCAGTGAATGAAAGAACACATAAAAAATTCAACAAATAAAATGGCAATACTAGGGCCGGGGATTTAGCTCAGCAGTTCGGTGGCCTGCCTTGCAAGAGCAAAGACCCGAGTTCAATCCCCGGTACCAAACAAACAAACAAACAAAAATGTCAATACTTCTTTTAATTGTAATTGACTAAGATATACATCTGAACAAAAGATGGAAATACATGTTACTCTTAGAGTAATCGCTTTATCATTTAAAGTTCTTTTTCTAACTTTCATCTAGGAATGTCAATTCAAACAATAGACATCCATATTTAAAAGACAACTATAGCAAGTGTATATGCCTAGGAAATGTAGAGTACTATAACAGTAGATCATGTTGAGATAGTCTTGGTAAATTAAAATAAAAGTGGCATTAGATCCATTTTTACAGGATATTTTTATACAAGTTGAACTGATTCTCACTGATTGCTTCTCAATAAAACTCTCAGCCTACTTCATCTGTTTGAAGAAGCACTTACATCTAACTAAAACCCACCAATAAAGCATCTCTTCATTGGAATCCAAAGGCTTATTCATAATGCCTGTATGAAAACTTACCTTTTTGACTTCTTTACTTGATCTGAATGTCTGCTGAATAAAAGAATCACTTTCAATAGCTTCAATTTCTTTTACTCTTTTCACCTGTTCTACCAGGGTGGCTTGGTCTAAAAGAGAGGGTATAATGTCAGTGTATTTTGGTATAAGCTTGTTAACAACACTACACCTAAGCAATGTTCTTTCTTTCTAGGATGAATCTTTACTACTTATAAAATTTAAATGGATGAAAAGATATTACATTTCAATTGTAAGAAGAAACTTTTCCCCTTTGAGACCACAAATATAACATTCACAGGAACTCAGTCTCTCATTTAAAATGTAAAATATTGCTGAGAAGGCACTGTTAATTATGATCTCAGGATATGGAAGGAGGGCTTTAAAAAATTTAACATTTTATTATGGAAATATATATAAAAGGGATAAGAGCACAGTGAATCATACTGTACCCACCATTCAATTTCTAAATTCATTACCTTTCTGTTACTCTCATTTAATCTATTCATTCCCCCCTCAAGATGTTTTCTGGTGGGAAACTACAATATGTAGCAGCAAATCTCAGATAGCATATGACATTATCCTTGAATGTTTTGTAGGCATCTCTGGCAAACAAGGACTTAAAATAGCAGCAATACATAATACAATTTCATACGTATACATATTATCAATAATTTCTTAATATCACCTACATAATCCATTATTAATTTTCATTAATTATGTTTAAAAGATTTTATAGTTTGAAACATGTATAAACAAGGATCATATATTCTACTTGGTTGATAAGTAAGTTAAATCTCTTTCCATCATTTATAGTCCATTATCCTTTCTTTTCATTGCCATTTATTTATTGAAGAAACTGGATCCTTTGTTTGTTTGTTTGTTTGTTTATTTTTTGTGGTATTGGGGATTGAACTCAGCTCCTTGTACTTGCAAGGCAGGCGCCAGAACCACTGAGCTAAATCCCCAGTCCGAAACGATCCTTTTTTCCATAAAAATTTTTGGTCTGAGTGATTTCATCCTCATGGTGCATCATTTAATATGTTCCTAAATTATCTATATTTTGTGTAGATGAGTAATTAGACCTCACGGCCTGATTTCATCGAGGCTCCATTTCTTTTTATCACAAGTACTGCTATGTAATTCCTCTTTCATCATATCACTATGCTCCTCTCCCTCTTTTAGTGATGTTAAGATTGATCAGTGGATCCACGGTGATGTAAACTTGACCCTCCCATGATAACGCTTCTCATCAGTCTTTCACACAATAATTCTGATACATGATTTCAAATAATTCTGGTACACGATTTACTGTTTCTTACATTAACTGTTTCATTAAATGTTGTCGAATAGTAATTTTCTAATCCCATTATTCCTTCCCACATTTACTAGCTCTGATTTTCTATAATGAAGAATTTAAAACTCATTGATTATTTAGTGACTATGAAATACAGCTTGTGTAGAAAAGTCATAAAAATGTTTAATTTTTTTCTCCTTATTCATTTTGGTTCAAAGATGACTAAAAAATGACCATTATGAATTCAGAATACTTACATATATTGTTTATCGCAATCTATGGTAATTATTTTCCTACATTGATCCTTAAATTGTTTCAACATTGAAAAGTAGGAGCCTCTTCAAATTAGCTAATCAACCCCCTATAGTTAAGGCATAACAAAATGTACTGTAATCATCTCGTATAGTTCCTGTCCAAGACATGAAACTTATCATTTCTTAAAAAAGCCTGGACTCCTTCTAGTGAGGAATATTTAGATTCAATAATCTAAACACTAGGTGTGTTCACTGTCACTAAATTGTCACTGCTCCTCAGTCTTTTCAGTGGGTGGGATGGGAAATACATATTTGTAAAGAGAAAAATTAATGTGAGTTGATGCTGATACTATCAATCAAATTAAAGATTATAGAATTTTCGGTTGAAGTCTTTCCATTTTATATTTAAGTATTTTTCCTTTACATCCTAAGCCTTAGGAATCAAAAGTATTCATTTGTTTTTCTTAATATACTTTCAAAATAACAAGACAACCATTATAACAAGGTATATTAATGTAGTTTACAATTTCTTTGCAGCCTTTTTGACCTTAGGATTTACTCTACTAATAAACTGTTAAAACACTATGCTCTTAATGTGACTTGAAATTATTTTCCAAGTGATTATACTAGCAATTTGGTATAGTTAGGTTCATTTATTTTAGTTTTTGATTATCAGGTCTTGCTTTGTGATTTAAGGTACAAAATTATTATTATTATTATTATTATTATTATTATTATTATTATTATTTTGCACCAGGGATTGAACTTCTTGTGCTTGCGAGGCAGGTACTGCAACCACTGAGCTAAATCCCTGGCCCTTTAAAGTCAAAATTTAAAACATCATCATTCAGAGGTATCTAGTTTTCCCTTCCTATCCCATGCCTCTACTTCATTCTCTAGTTCGTAAGGAACCATTTTTATCAGGTTTGGGTTTATCTTCCCAATGTTTACTTCTGAAAATGTAAGTGTATATTCTTTTCTTGCTTATTATACAAAGTTCGTATATATACACTCTTATATATATTGCATTTTTTAACTTAATATCTCTACTCATTCTACTCCATAGTAGTTTAGAGGCTTCCTCTTTCTATTTTACAACTGCACAGTAATCTTTTATACTTTTAACAATTTTTCTATCAATGCTTACTCATGGTTGTTTATTTTGTTTTGCTTTTGTTTTAATAAACAGTCATATGCATGTGTCATTTTATTTTTTGGCATTTTTTCTTCACATATGTATTAACAGCAGAAAAACTAACAAGGTGCATATCCTTGCTGCTTAAACTCTTGCTGAAAACTGATACAAACACATAGTTGAATTAGGAGCCATTCTACACTCAGCTAAGAGAACTAAAACTTTGGGGATTTGGATTTCATGGGTAATGACTGGATTTATTTATTTATTTATTTATTGGTACCGGGGATCGAACTCAGGTCCTTGCGCTTGCTACATCCCCAACCTTCTAGTTTTACTTTTTAAAGAAACCAGTATAATTACTGGTTTGACAAGTGGATTTTTTTGTACCAGGAATTGAACTCAGAACCTTGCGCTTGCAAGGCAGGTGTGACCTGCTGAGCTAAATCCCCAGCCCGAAAGTGGAATTATTTGCATCAAAGTAAATTTTATATCCTGGTGGCTATAAGCTGAAAAACTTGAATGCTGCTATAGACATAACTATAAAGAGTACGAAAAGAAATTTAATTTCATGAGTTCAATAAAATGACCATTTCTTTAAAATATTTGTCTCAACTTTTGGCCAACCATAAATTATATTTATATAATCTTGTGGAAGCTTCAGTTTATTTATGGGATATATAGCTCCTTTGAAGATATGCCCCTGACAGCTGTAACTGGTCTTTTCTCATGTGAGAAATAGTGTGTGGAATGCTTGGAAGTAGCAGCTGCCAGAGCTAATATTGCCATCTTTGGAAAAGTGCATTTTCCTACATAAGTACTATCAGAACGCCATACAAGAGCAAATAGTTCCATATGCTTTCAAGTAAAAGTTTATCTAGGTTTTAGTTATGCAGTGTACACACTGAGCAGGTGAGAGACTTTTTGTCCAGCTAGTTAATCAATATTAAAACATCTCTAACCAGTGGGTAATTTTAAAATTAATTACATTAGAATAATATTAATATAGCAGAGAAAAGTCATAACAGGTACCATTCCACGTGATTTAACTTTAATGCCAACATGAAAACATGTGTTTGTACAGGTCCTAATTAGTTTCACTAGGGTTCTTTCACCATCACTAAATTCCCAACCAGAAGACATTATTTCTAACTACAGGGTGATGTTTCATATGTAGCAACTATTGGATGTCTGGGTTTTTTTCCATAATATATTCTCTCATTTGGATTTGCAAAGCACATCATTAGTATTAAATGTCAGAGGTGAACTCACAAACAGTACTGATGTCTAAAGCTTTCAGGGTTTGCATCTTTAAATTTGGAACTACAACCAGCTAATACAAATAAAAGTGGTATGACAGAAGCTGGCCAAATGGCCAGTATGCTTATTAAAACAGCATTGTAGAAATTATAAAGGAAAGAGGAGAAAAGATTAGAGAAAACAGAATACGATCTCTGTGCTTCTTTAAAAATCACCTCAGGACTAACAAAGTATATGGCACACAGAAGAGAGCCAGTATGCCTGACTCACAATGTGAAAATAAACCAACATAGTTTTTATATTTCAATGTAGGAATCATTTTGCTTGCTGTAAAGGAGTGATAGCTAAATTAAAATTTGAAAGATTCCTCATATTTTCAGCCTTCTAATAGCTTAGCTCTGTGTTGTCTGAAAAAAGCAGGCATAAAAATATATTAAATTGCTTTGTACTCAAAATTCTAATACCAATGCCCACAAATGTATGTCTCAAGTATAATCCTGTCATTTTAGAAGAAGAAAACACATCAATAATGTATATTACATTGCTTTAAATTCAGTTTCTTATGTTATACTTGTCAATTTCTTTAAAAATCCTGTACCAATTTTAAGATTGGGAAAAATATGACTTAAAGCTAGCTTTACTTGAATACCTACCCTATAAAATACCTTGTAATCATCAAACATCAGATAAAAATAAAGACAAATATATTGTTATTGGGAGAATCAAAATTATGCTTTAAAATACTGTGGTAAATATGAAGGGAAAATGTCCATTAGCACTTACTTCTTTTTAATATCCATATTATTGGTAAATAAAACGACCTCCCTATGTTTGTCACATGTCAGTAGAAGAGATACATATTTCACAGTAAAATAAAAAATAATGGAATCAGAAAGCCGTATCATTAGAGATAAAAAAAAAATCAATGCTAATTCACTTCACTGAAAATAATTTAAGGGTAAAAATTAAAATAAAATGTTTTATTAGTCATTGTTGAGGTTATAGTATTATAGATTAGGTTCTCCTACTAAAGTTCTATTTGGCAATCAATTTCATGTTACAATATTTACAGAGTTTTCTTTCAATATATCATCAACTGGTATGCAAATTTAAAATTACTAAATAAAAATGACAAGATCCATTGTAACCTTTTAATTTATTTTTTATTTTTTTGTTTGTTTTTTTGAGACAGGGTCTCACTATGTAGCCCAGCAATCCACCTGCCTCAGCCTCCCGAGCGCTGGGATTACAGGCATGCGCTTCCCCACCCGGCTTTAACCTTTTAATTTAAAATACAAAATTTTTTTTAAATTGTAAAAGACAAAAATTTTAGATTGTACTTATTTGAAGATTGCAAACATATACCAAAATCTTCTACTAGCAATGCTAAGCTGGTAACAGCAGATGGCACTATTGCTCTGGATGGAATCAGAATAACAGCAACTTGAGTTTCATGAAAGATACCTTAAACACATACGAACTCATCTTCAACCAATTCCTTTCAAATATTAATATTTTATGAATTTCCCTAAAGTTAAATGCATCTTATGTTACAAAGAATTT